TGTTCTGCAGGGAGAACAGGTGCGTCACCTAGCGGTGCTTGTAGGACATAATCTTTCTTGGCAGCTATGAGGATGATCCTCAGGTTCCGGACCCAGTCTGTGTAGTTGCTGCCATCGTCTTTCAACTTGGTTTTCTCTAGAAACGCGTTGAAGTTGAGGACTACGTTGGCCATTTGATCTACAAGACATATTGTAAAATATTTAGACTAAGTTCATGATAATTAAGTTCATCTAATCAAATTATTCAATGAACTCCCACTTAGATAGACATCCCTCCTATAATCTATGTATAACATGATCCGAGTTAACTAGGCCGTGTCCGATCATCACGTGAGACGGACTAGTCAACATCGGTGAACATCTTCATGTTGATCGTATCTTCTATACGACTCATGCTCGACCTTTCGGTCTTCTGTGTTCCGAGGCCATGTATGTACATGCTAGGCTCGTCAAGTCAACCTAAGTGTTTGCATGTGTAAATCTGTCTTACACCCGTTGTATGTGAACGTTAGAATCTATCACACCTGATCATCACGTGGTGCTTCGAAATAACGAACTGTCGCAACGGTGCACAGTTAGGGGGAACACTTTCTTGAAATTATTATGAGGGATCATCTTATTTACTATCGTCGTTCTAAGTAAACAAGATGCAAAAACATGATAAACATCACATGCAATCAAATAATAATAGTGACATGATATGGCCAATATCACATAGCTCCTTTGATCTCCATCTTGGGGCTCCATGATCATCTTGTCACCGACATGACACCATGATCTCCATCATTGTGTCTCCATGAAGTTGCTCGCCAACTATTACTTCTACCACTATGGCTAACGCGTTTAGCAATAAAGTAAAGTAATTTACATGGCGTTTCTCAATGACACGCAGGTCATACAAAAATAAAGACAACTCCTATGGCTCCTGCCGGTTGTCATACTCATTGACATGCAAGTCGTGATTCCTATTACAATAGCATGAACATCTCATACATCACATATATATCATTCATCATTCATCACAACTTTGGCCATATCATATCACAAAGCACTTGCTGCAAAAACAAGTTAGACGTCCTCTAATTGTTGTTCGCAAGTTTTACGTGGCTGAAACAGGGTTCTAGCAAGAACGTTTTCTTACCTACGTGAAAGCCACAACGTGATTTGTCAACTTCTATTTACCCTTCATAAGGACCCTTTTCATCGAATCCACTCCAACTAAAGTGGGAGAGACAGACACCCGCCAGCCACCTTATGCAACTTGTGCATGTTAGTCGGTGGAACCGGTCTCACGTAAGCGTACGTGTAAGGTTGGTCCAGGCCGCTTCATCCCACAATACCGTTGAAGCAAGATAAGACTAGTAGCGGCAAGAAAGTTGACAACATCAACGCCCACAACAAATTGTGTTCTACTCGTGCAAGAGAACTACGCATAGACCTAGCTCATGATGCCACTGTTGGTGAACGTTGCAGAAAACAAAAATTTTCTTACGGTTTCACCAAGATCCATCTAGGAGTTCATCTAGTAACAAGTGATCGGATTGCATCTACATACCTTTGTAGATCACGCGCGGAAGCGTTCAAAGAACGGGGATGAGGAAGGCATACTCGACGTGATCCAAATCACCGGAGATCCTAGCGCCGAACGGACGGCACCTCCGCGTTCAACACACGTACGGTCAGCGTAACGTCTCCTCCTTCTTGATCCAGCAAGGGGAAAGGAGAGGTTGAGGAAGATGGCTCCAACAGCAGCACGACGGCGTGGTGGTGATGGAGCTGCAGTACTCCGGCAGGGCTTCGCCAAGCACTATGGAGGAGGAGGAGGTGTTGGAGAGGGAGAGGGAGGCACCAAAGGCCAGGGTGAGAGGTCCTCCCTTCCCCCACTATATATAGGGGGCCTAGGGAGGGGCGCCGGCCCTAGGAGATCCAATCTCCTAGGGGGGGCGGCGGCCAAGGGAGGAATCCCTCCTCCCCAAGGCACCTAGGAGGTGCCTTCCCCTTCTAGGACTCTTCCTTTAGGGTTTCCCCCACCCTAGGCGCATGGGCCCTAGGGGAAAGTGGCGCCCCAGCCCACTTTGGGCTGGATCCCTTCCCACTTCAGCCCATGGGGCCCTCCGGGATAGGTGGCCCCACCCGGTGGACCCCTGGGACCCTTCCGGTGGTCCCGGTACAATACCGGTAACCCCGAAACTTGTCCCGATGGCCGAAATAACACTTTCTATATATAATTCTTTACCTCTGGACCATTTCGGAACTCCTCGTGACGTCCGGGATCTCATCCGGGACTCCGAACAACATTCGGGTTACTGCATATACATATCCCTACAACCCTAGCGTCACCGAACCTTAAGTGTGTAGACCCTACGGGTTCGGGAGACATGTAGACATGACCGAGATCGCTCTCCGGTCAATAACCAACAGCGGGATCTGGATACCCATGTTAGCTACCACATGCTCCTCGATGATCTCATCGGATGAACCACGATGTCGAGGATTCAAGCAACCCCGTATACAATTCCCTTTATCAATCGGTATGTTACTTGCCCGAGATCTGATCGTCGGTATCCCAATACCTCGTTCAATCTCGTTACCGGCAAGTCACTTTACTCATACCGTAATGCATGATCCCATGACCAGACACTTGGTCACTTTGAGCTCATTATGATGATGCATTACCGAGTGGGCCCAGTGATACCTCTCCGTCATACGGAGTGACAAATCCCAGTCTTGATCCGTGTCAACCCAACAGACACTTTCGGAGATACCCGTAGTATACCTTTATAGTCACCTAGTTACGTTGTGACGTTTGGTACACCCAAAGCACTCCTATGGTATTCGGGAGTTACACGATCTCATGGTCTAAGGAAAAGATACTTGACATTGGAAAACTCTAGCAAACGAACTATACGATCTTGTGCTATGTTTAGGATTGGGTCTTATCCATCACATCATTCTCCTAATGATGTGATCTCGTTATCAATGACATCCAATGTCCATAGTCAGGAAACCATGACTATTTGTTGATCAACGAGCTAGTCAACTAGAGGCTTACTAGGGACATGTTGGTGTCTATTATTCACACATGTATTACGATTTCCGGATAATACAATTATAGCATGAATAAAGACAATTATCATGAACAAGGAAATATAATAATAATGCTTTTATTATTGCCTCTAGGGCATATTTCCAACAACCAGGTCTCACGGGCTAGCAGGTGAGACCCACCCTGATGGATGACATGTGGCATTCACAAATCTAAAGCATCTAATCTCCCCCCCCCCCGATTTCAAGTGAGGGGTGGGGTAGATGCTTTGTGATTTGTAAATGCCACGTGTCATCCATCAGGATGGGTCTCACATGCTAGCCCGTGAGACCTGGTCTCATATAATTCTTTTCCTCCTCTCCACCCCCTCGCCGCCGCCGAATGACGCGGCCGGGCTAAGCCCGCGCAGCGGACGGCGGCGGCGGGGCTCCCCCATCCCGTGAAGGCACGGTCGGAGTGCTGGATCCTAGGCGGCGCGGCCCCAGCTTCGTGGCGGCAGATGGGCGGTTGCTGTGGCTGCGGGGGCGGCGCGGCGGTTGGGCCTGGTGACGCTCCGGTCTCCCTCATGGGAGTGGGTCAGAGTGAGTGGGTGTGGCGCTCTGTATCTCGATGCTAGCGGCTCTCCGACTTGGCCTCCTGCTCCGCTCGGTGTGGCGGCGCGGGGCCTTTGTGGTCGACGGGAGGGGTGGCCGCTGCCGGATCTGGTCGGGTGTGGTTGAATTCGGCCGGCCAGCGGTGGTTTCCTGCTACGGTCTTGTCTTCGTGTGGTGCGGTGACTATAGTGCAGCGGGGTGACCTCTTGTCCCCGGGCCTGGCGTGGCGATGTTGGACGCCGGGGCGGCGGCCCCGGGACAGTGGTTGATGTGTCGGCAGCCGTGGAGTTCGCGCGGGCAACGCGGCGGCTGCGGTGTTGTTGGTGGAGAGAGGCTCATCTCTCCTGTGGTGATTTGTGCATCCTCAACTCTCGGGTCAAGATCTCCGGGCTAAAGTCAGGATCTTGGTTGGATCAGACGGCGGTGTCATCTCCAACGTCGTTTTCCTTCCTGGGGGCGCCATCTTGGAGATCTTGATCCCTTTTGTGCTTCCTACAGGCTGGACGTGCACGGCATCGCGGTCGGCAGGTGCCCGACCGGCGATGAGGTTGGTGTGGCGTTGCGACGCCTATGGCAACGACAATGGTGGTGAGAAAAGCTGAGTCGCTGCTTGTCCTTTTGATGTCGAAGGTCCGGTGCGCCAATGGGTGTGCCCATGCTGGTTTCTGGCTATGACAGAGAAGTTAGAGCTGCGGGCGGCAGGGCCGCTGCGGCAACGATGACTCCATGAGAATGGTTTTCAGCGTGCGGTGCTCTCCGGATGTTGCGCTGGACTAGGTCGGTGCGAGGCTAGCAACTTTCTTTTGTGAAGCTCATCAGCAAAATCGGAGCTGCCATGTCATCGACGCTGCGGTTGACTGTTTGGTGTTGTTGTGGCCAGGTCGTCCGCATTTGCCCCTTGGGGGTTTGTATCTAGGTTTTCGCCCGGTTTCCTCTAATTAACCGGGCAACTCTCTTCATCGTATTCAATGAAAATGGCAAATCTTTTGCCTCATTGCACAAAAAAGAGATCCAAATTCAGCTGGCGGTGGTGTAGCTATTCATAACTTTAGCAAACCCATACTTGTCATGTATTATCTCTAACGATGAATGGTAAAATGTTTTAGAGCTACACTCTGCTCTAATCCCTCTGAAGTTGGTCTCAGCTATTGCTTTATGTACATACTTCTTAACAAATCTTGTTTGTTGCTTCAGTTAATGAATGAGCAGAAAGCAAGTGCTTCTATCCTCTGGTTAAGAATGCACAAAATTCTAAAGCTGCAGCAGATCCATATTTAGAACTGCGTCCCAAATTCCCATTTATTGAGCATCTCATTATGCATGTGCATGTCACTAACATTATATTTGGTTGCAACTTGCAGGTTTTGAAGAAAGACGAGAGCATTAACCAGATGCAACAGGATTTTCAGGAATCTGCAAAGGAGTTGACCACTCTCCGGTGCACCCTTAAATCAGTAAGTGATGAAAGGGATGCCTTGTGGCAGGAAACAAAGCATTTGCGGAAAACTGTTAGCGTGCTGCAAAACGATGTTGCCTCATTAAAGCAGAAAATCAAATCGCTCGACAAAGACATACAGCTGAAGGAAGGCGAGATACTGCTGCGTGAGGGTGAGATTTCCATATTACAGGACAGCATCGATAGGCCACTCGACATCATCTGCAGTCCTCATCAATGAAACAGTTTGACATGGAGTAAATTTGCGTAATTCACATCCTTCTGTCTGGATTCTCAAATGGCCTTTTCCTTCTGTCTATTCTTTTAGAAACATAGAAACTTGGGCTGGATTCTAAAATGGCCTTTTCCTTCTGTCTCTACTTTTAGAAACATAGAAGCTCAGGCTGGATTCTCAAATGGCTTTTTCCTCCTGTCCCTTCTTTTAGAAACATAGTTCACATCCTCTATCCCTCTTTAAACATAGTTCACTATATTAGCAGTTGGATAATGGTCTATCCTTCTTGTTTGCACTTTGACGATGCAACCTGTGTTGCTACCCTCGTTTAGTTTTGTGATACTGCACTTTGTCTAAATCTAATTGTTTGTTGAAAAGGAGTAGTCAGATCTTTTTCATATGCAGTTTTTTTAAACAAGCAGGCTTAAAACACATAACGGTCCATTACTTGTTCATTACTGATATGTACAAAAAAAGCATGTAGATGAGTTCAATGTCAGTGAGATGATATAAGGCTCTTCCCAGTGCTCCATGATGGACAGGTGCTAAGGGTGCCACATAGGCAAAAAAAATGATGTGGCAAAGCAATTGAAGAGGAGAGAGAGTATTACAGTGACCCCAAGAAGAACCAATGCTAAGCACAAGAACCTATACAAAAAGACTACCAACCAATACATAAAGGAGTTTTGTCACTAAACAATTAAATAAAGGAGGTCTAGCTACAAAAGCTAAGCACTGATGCATTGGAGATATTAGTTGCTAAGCATTTTAATGCACTTAGCACCTCACTTTAGCACCAATGCATTGAAAGAGGTCTAACAAACATCGCATAATTATGATCAGAGGCAAAATAAATTCACACTCTTTTAGTGTGCATGGATGTATAACCCACCATGCTGATTCAAGTCCTCATGAATGCTTGTGGCCAAGGTTAAAACCACAAATATTGCAGCTAATGATCTATCCCAGAGGGTTTGCAGCCATCATTCAAAACCATATACGACGGCATGATAGAAACTAAAGGTTTGAAGGTAGCGTGATTCCACCCGCCATAGTTACATCATCAATACAAAAGTAGTAGAGCTACCCCTAAGCTTATAACACACGTGAGGGGGCACGTCCACACCTATCATGCATAGGAGTTGCACATCATTAGGATCTTGTTTGGTTAAACCCCTTCCAAGGGGATTGGAGAGGATTTGAGGTGATTGGGGATTGGGGAGAGGGGAGGGGGGGCTTGTAGACGATTGAATCCCTCTCAATCCTCTCTAAATCGAACATGTGTTTGTGGTGTGATGAACCGACGTCATTCACTAATGGATGTGTTTTCTTCTGGACCTTGACATGTGTCTAAGGTTATACGACAACCATTTTTTTGATGGACAAACTCTAAAATTGTTTAACTCCCAAATGCCATATTCGGTTTTACTAACCGTCTTCACCGTTGGCTTTGTCTCGACGAGAGGTTTGATACTAGATCACATATGTGTAGATTTCGACCCAAAAAATCATCTTAAAAATTGCCACCTAGTAATTAATAAAATTGTGATGATATTGGTATTAAAATTGTCACCTAGTAACTTTCCTTATTGTGGGGTGGTAACAAATCCATCTTAAAAGTTGTCATCTAGAGGTAATGAAGTTGTCATTGTGTTGATATCAAAGTTGCCACATGGTAACTTTTTTTTAATAATTGTCTCCTCCTTTATTCATTTATAAGAATTGTTGCATCGATTACAATCATGGATACCACCGCCTCTAGGAGGGGAGAACCTAGCTAACCTAGCTAGTTCTTGAGCTACCTGATTTCCCTCTCTATTATTGTGATCATAAATAACATGATGAAAACCTAATGACATGTAGAAACAATCATCAAAGATGGCACTAGCTATTGAACAAGAGATGCCCTCTTGCAAAGCCGAAATGACCTCTGCACTATCGGATGTAATATCAATCTTGCTACAACCAACAGTTCGTGCAAGGTCCATACCAAATCTCACCGTTATCACCTCTGTTGTGAAGGAATCGAAGCAGATGTCCACCTTTTCATTTGTTGCAAGTATGAACTTGCCGTTATGGTCCTGGAGGATGGCACCTAGAGTCCCTTCTAGCAAATCATAAGCGAACCCATCATCAACATTTAACTTCATGTAACCTGCCCATGGCTTCGCCCATCCAACAGTTCGAACCTTTACCCAAAAAGGCTTTCGCCCCGCTTTATATATAAAGCAAAATCAACATCACCCGGTACAAACGCACGCCACCACCACACACGTACACCCAAGGCAGGATACATAGGCGTTGAACGCAACAACAACACCCTAGCACTACCGCCACGAAGAGATGAAGCCGCATACGACGAACCGTGGACTCCAAGACGGCACCTTCAGGAAGGATATGACACTGGAGCGCTGCCACCGCCCGATCCAAGGATCGGAGTTTCCCCTGGAGCCGCACGACGGACAGTGAGAGCCATGACGACGCCTTCAAGAAGGGAACGAGTTTCGCCGCTGCCGGTCCATCCGAAGATAGAACAAGTTTTCACCTCGACCAACACTCACCGCCACCGAACGCCACACCCCAGCTACCACGCCGCCCACATGGCCATGGCCACCAGGCAGCAGCAAGCCACAGGCTCTGCCCAAGAGCACCGCGCTACTGCCACCAGGGCCGCCGTCTCGGCATCCAAGACCTTGACACCACCTCACCCGAGACCCACCGCTACCCCAACCAAAGAGACGAGTGGAAAGGTCCCACCTTTCGCACCCCCGGGCGTCCCCAGCGTCGAGACCCAGTAGGCCGGCCAACACTGGCATACATCGACCCGTCCTGCAACCCCGAGTGCGAGACGTGTTCGGTCCTGCAGCACCATGAGGGGGACGAGGTCAGTCCTACAGCCCCGAGTGCGAGACGAGTTCGAACCTTTGCCTTAGGCTTGCATGCAATAACATAATTTGCCGCCAACCCTCTTACCGCAAAATTAATTTGCGAAGCACTTAGGGTTGTTCTCCACGAGTAAGTTTCCTACACTCATACCACAAATACCACCTTGTTGTAGCCTTGTTTCTCTTAGTCTGGGCAACCCAAGGCTTGAATATCATGGTATGTCACCTCATAAATCGACCTAGCATGCCTTTTTTATGATACCATAGACCCCTAGAAGCTTCCAAACTTCATGTGCTTTGCCACATGGTAACTTTGGTACCAACATAGTGGTAACTTTGACAATAATTGAATAATACAATGACAACTTCATTTATCACGGATCCATCTACAACTAATCATCTCCCTGGTTTTTAGGGGTGGACCCTCCTCTTCCCCTAAATACCAAACCATGATTTACCACGATCGTCGGTAAATTCAATCCCGTATGAATTGTTAGCATTTCTCAAGTCAGAGTTCCTATAGCTTTTTCTCAGAGACAACTGCTTCTGCTTAGACAACAACGCTTCTAGGTAGTGCTAACAACAACGAAGATCTAAACCAAATATTATGCAAGTCACAGTCATAACTAGGTAAACAAAAATTAAATTAGATGTGGCAGAATTACATAACGCTGAATTGCATTATACTCCCTTCATTCTTAAATATTTGTCTTTCTAGAGTTTTAAATGGACTATCACATACGGATGTATATAGACATATTTTAGAGTGTAGATTCACTCATTTAGCTTCGTATATAGTCACTTGTTGAAATCTTTAGAAAGACAAATATTTAGGAACGGAGGGAGTATTTTGCAGAAGAATATTTGTCACTTTTGTTTAAGCGAGCCAAAAGCTTTTTTATTAATCAAGAAGAAGATGTGGACGAAAACCGATACAAACAGGGAATCCCATTGACATCACGAGACACCATGGCCATGGCCACGCCCACTCTCACCAGCAACATGACAAACACCCAGAAGACGCCCACCACCGCGCATCACACAACACAAATCTCAAGCGGACTACTCCCAAAATAAAGAAAAAAATACCTGAGCGAGAAACACATCCTTGAGACTAACATCTTGCAAGGTTGTCACATTTCCCAAGGAGACATTAATCCCCTGGTTGACATTCTTGACTTTACTCTCATTGACAAGGCGGCTCAAACCTTGGGTGATCGAAGGCATGATAAGCAGACCTTTGATCAGCTTCGAGGGGGCATGAACAATGGCATCGTCCCCTCTGGTCAACGTGGCACCCTTTTTAACAGCCAACACATCATCAGAACCAGAAGTAGCAAGGTTGAACTCAGCAGCCACCTTGCCAATGGAGACCAACTTGGGCTCCATAGCTTCAACTAACTCTGATGACCTCAACCGAACACAGTGGAAGTTGCCCACAACACCTTGATACCCATCTTCTGCCACCAGCAGCGCCTGCATCGCCTGCAATGGGCCATCAACGATGCTGTCTGATGAGCAAGGTCCCTGGGAGCCTGTGCTCAACCTCCTGTCCTCCTCTCACCATCGGACACATCTGCAAACTCCAATAGGATGGTCGCACGTGCCAACCACGAGCACAAATAGTCCTCTAGCATGCGCAGAGGGAGGAGAGCCGTGTCCAACATGCCTTGCAGCTCAGCACCAAGCGATGAACACAGAGTGTCTGGAGACCTTGCAACTGTCGTGCCCAGCACAACCTTTACTGGCAGCATCAAGAACAGGAGCTTGGGCGTTCAACAAGGGCAGCCCCAGAATGTCTCCACGGAAGGGCATGACCAGTCCGGAGGGGCGCGTGCAGTGACTAAGAGCTCTGCTGGTGGGATGGCAAAGGCGACAGTCCTGTTCGCGGTGCCCAGAGGCAGGCGAGCCATCTGATCGGGTCACCACAGCAAGAGGCAGCCTGGTGGTCAGGAGCCAAACAACGGAAGCATCGAATGATGTTGTAACACATGGAAATGTACTGCCAAAGTGTAAGCTATATTCAAAGCCAACTTCTCTATTTCACATTTCAGTCAAACAAATTGCAAGAGACTCAATTAGTAGCAAGGTAGGCAACAGGAAATGCGCTGCAATGATCAAACTATCAATTGAATTGCATTTAAGAGCAATAGTAATATATAACAATTTGCGTAACACATTTGGTTTCTCTTTTATTTTCCCATAAAGGACAAACCAAATGTCTAGATGATAGATAGCTGCAACTAAGTAAGGCTGAATTCAGTGTTAACACAAGCTAATCAATAGTGGAGAGAATCTTCTTGAATCGCCTGACCTGTAGGATGTAGATCTGCAAAATAACAACAGCAACCTCAAAAACAAATGATGTACAGTAGTAGTTTAGATCAGCAAAAGAACAACAGCAAGCCCATATAGCAAACTACACCCTTCGTTCCTAAATATAAGCCCTTTTAGAGATTCCAACAAGGACTACATACAGAGCAAATGAGTGAATCTACACTCTAAAATACGTCTATATACATCCGTATGTAGTCCATATTGGAATCGCTAGAAGGGCTTATATTTAGAAACGGAGGGAGTACACAGATACGTACAATTCAACACAGCAATGCTCAACTCTAAATCACCGGACAAACCTAAAGCAGCTTGCCATCCATTGTTTAAATCAGAATACCTGAGATCTTCCTCATCAGCACGACTAACAAACAAGTCACTGCTGATCCACTCGGACAGGTCTGTGTGGCTTCGGTGCTGAAATGCATGAGAAAGCCGTCGTCATCATATATAACATTAAAGGACATGGCAAAAGTTTCTTTGATGCTTACATTTGTGGTTCTGATTCTAATAGAACATGGAAGTACACTGACCGGATCCCTAGTGCTAACTTCTACGAGACCCCAACTCATATAAACAGAACCAGTACAGTTCGAACTTTAAGCAACATTTTAACACGGAAGTAAGAACTGAATTAAAGCAACCATGCCAGGAATTGTGGAATAATATGTGAAATGTGAATGTAAAAGAACAAACCATTCGGGTTTCCTTGTTCATAGAAATTTCTAAAAAGAGCGACTGCCTCTTCCGCCATTATCCCCCCAGTACATTTAAAACCTCTTGATCTGGTATCTTGGCTCCTAGCAAAAGAAACGCATGAGACCATGTTAGTTGTACAATTTGTGAGTAACCTAAATAACTAACATAATTTGGAATTAGAAGAATGCATGAGAACTCAATAAGAATGTATGGCATTCAATGCAAACAGAAAGATTATGCAAGCCCAACTTTGTCATGACACATCATAGAATATTGAACTACTGGTAGAAAGGCATTATTAACATTCAAAGTATAAGAAGGTTTGTTCACATGAGCAGAGAGTTTTCAATTTGCCGCTTATATCCCCTCACCCTGTTAAGTCATCCGACGAAAGGCTCTCATGCAGTGACATGACTGATCCACATCCCCCGAATTTATCATTCGGACACCCAAAGTATACTTCCCTGACTCCTACCAAAAATATCATAAATTCTTACTGGTTAATATAGTTTCAACAGGAGAAATAGAATAATCAAGATGGGGCAAACAGGAGAAATAGAATAATCACAGACCTAGTATCGACAATGCTGATGCACACATTATGCATGGCTCGCACGTGACATAGAGGTCACATCCTGCAAACTTATCCGCGACCAGTGTCTGGTCAAGGCCAATACTCTGCCACTCCTGGAGAAGGACATCGATTGCTTCCATCTCAGCATGTCTTGTAGCCTTACAATTGAAGTAATTTATTTCAGAGGAAAAAACACAAAAATGTCTCAAAGCACAAACATCCAGCACACAGGAGAATAGCATACATTCCGGGTGGCATTGGTCCTGTTGCTACCAGAGGCAATAACCTTCCCGTCCTCCACAATCACACATCTATCTTGACGGGGATGGAACAATACAATTAGCACATTAGGAACTACAAATTTACCTTCCACCGAGTGAACTGTGAACTATATTCAAGGGAAACCAGAGCATACCCTACAGGAACCTCAAGGTTGTCCAGCGCAAACTTGGCCTACAAAAAAAAACAGCAGGAGCTCTGCCTTCATTAATTAAGTAGGAAAAAACCGACCAGTTTATGATGGAAACCTGTTGGAAACCGATAAAATTGGATCGACTCGCCTAGCTAAACTAGGCCCGGAGCTCCGCGCTCATAGACAACACAATGAACCCAAAACACCCACAAACCTAAGAACAATTGATGACAGGTAGAAGATACAACTCTGTCAAAAGATGTCACTGTCACGCTGTAGACACACTACACCCTGATCAAGCAGACCAGATTTGGCATGAACCACACAAATGAAGGTCGCAAGATTCCTGGAAGGTTTCAAAGAAGCACGAAAGACAACCTGCCAAGAGGCGGGAATCCAAACCCGTCCCGACTACCAACTGAGCCAACAATGCCGCCACCCACATAGCACAAAGCCAAAACCTCACCCCTCTAGGGCGCCACTGCGTCGCTTTTCAGGGATGGTACCCCGGCATCCACTGCCTCGGCCTCACTGGCAGAGCACCCGCATGCCAAGGCCTTCCCACGCACCTGGGCAAGGGAGAAGCCACGGCCGCACCAGGCACGCCTTCCAAGGTCCAGCGCCAGATTCGGAGCCACCACATGAAATGGTTTTTCTTCTCCCTGCAGCTAACTAGCCTGAGATAATGCCAGTAACTCTGCTCGGTAGTTTTCTTAAGAAGGCCTTAACATTTTGCTGCTACACTCATTGGCCTATACTGGGTTCGATTAACCCGGATTACACTCAATCACACGTACTGGTTGTTGAACCATCTAAATTAAGCATGTTCAGGATGATCTGAGGATGAAGCTAATCTACAAAAGTAGTTTCAGAGAGTTGAGGAAATAATTTCAGTCAATCAGGCTCCTATAGGGAGAAGAAAAAACACTTGAATCCCTGGCAATCCGTCAGTCACACATATGGGAACGATCAAGCCCGACGCCACATGCCCACCACAGCAGGAACTCGACAACGCCGCCGCGCTAGACTAGCCGCAGGGCTCGCCGCTCCGGCGTCGAGGACAATGCAGCCACAGTTCAGAAATACTGGCACGCATGTTCTACTCGTACGGCAAGCACGATTTGAGCCATACCTGGTCGAGCGCCAGCTCCATAAACGCAGTAGCCGACATTGGTTGGGCACGAAGGGTCAGCGAGCGAGCGCAGGCAGACGGCGCACCGGAGATGCGGCGAACGAACTGCTCGAGTGGGGGCGTCTAGGTTTCTCCTTATTTTTCCTTCTCTCTTCATTTAGGCCGTGGGCCGGGCCCTGAGAGCCCATGTACTTCGTCGTCTTCTGACTGGGCAACAAAGCGGGGAGGGAGCCACCGGGTCTCACCCACCAACGGCGGAGATGGGTGGTGGTGCCGCGAGGAGGGTTCTCGAGGCGTGGAAGCTCGGAGTGGTCAAGTACGGCGACGCCCTCAGGCTCCAGGAGAGGCTCGTCGCCGACCGGAGAGCCGGCCGGGTCCCGGACCTCGTGCTCTCGCTGCAGCATCCGCCTACCTACACCCTCGGCAAGCGGCGCACCGACCACAACCTGCTCGTGCCGGAGTCAAGCCTCGCGGGCCTCGGCGCCGAGCTCTACCGCACGGAGCGGGGCGGCGACGTCACCTTCCACGGCCCGCGCCAGGCCGTGCTCTACCCCATCCTCTCGCTCCGGGACATTGGGCTAGGCGCGCGGAGGTATGTCGAGGGGCTCGAGTCCGCCATGATCGAGGTTGCCTCTCTGTACGGCGTCAAGGCGCGGCCGGGGGGCGCCTGCGAGACCGGCGTGTGGGTCGGGGACAGGAAGATTGGGGCCATCGGGGTCAGGATCTCGTCAGGGTTTACCTGCCATGGCCTGGCCTTCAACATCGACCCTGATTTGGGCTACTTCAAGCACATCGTGCCCTGCGGCATTGCTGACAAGGAGGTCACATCGCTGCGGCGGGAGGCCGCGGTGGAACTCCCTCCTGACGAGGTGATCCATGGTCAGCTCGTGCAGAGCTTGGCGACAACCTTCCGTTTCAGTGATGTTAAAGTCAAGGATGATTCCGAGTGTGCAGACATGATTAGCTCAGCTGCAACTGAGCAACACTGATATGTATTTTGCTCTTTGTACTTTTGTATACTGGGATTTTGCCTCGACACCTAGTTATAAACTTTTGGGTTTCAAAATTTTCCTCTGATAATGTTGGTCGTAAATGAAGGTGCTTCCCATGCTGTTGGCAAGAGCTAACATCTGAACCATCCTATTAGTGTGGTGTCTTCTTGGTATTGCTTTAAACAGCATCCTGCTTCATGAAGATAATAATTGTGTGTGTGGATATATATCAGCTTGGTTGAAATATATGGGAGAACACCTTGCCACGGTAACAACATTGGAGAAGTCGTCAGATTTTGCTTGTTTCAGATAAGCGGAAACAAAGGTAATCTTCATATGGTATAGGCCAACAGTGAAAACCTGAACAAGCCTATTTGTCTCTGCTTGGTATTCTTTTGACCGGAGATGGCAAATTCTGTGGATATATTACACTGTTAACAGATGGTGTCGGTGTTATATGGAGCTACCAAATGTTGATACTGAAATTTTCCTCTATTATTGAGCATGCAGACCTTTTGTCTTATTTGATGCCTTGTCCTTGTTTTGTTCTCTCTTGATGATCAGGTCCATTTGGACAAGCCCTGGCTGCTGTAGGATGCTTGAAGGCAAAGAGGTCTTTAAGAATGTAATTCATGTGTAAATTTGCACCAATAACCTCTCCAACTGTGGAATATAATCTATTTTCGTTCCTCCGACTTCAGCAGGTCTCCTGAAATATTGCATAATATTGATTTTTCGCTGAGATGGTAAAGCTGGTATGTTGCTACGCCATGCACAAATAAAATGATCTTACACATTCGCCTGAACTGGATTTTGCTTATTGCATTGGCATCCTGCTATTGATGGCCAATGTACAAAATATGGTTTGGAATAAGATTGCTGCCCATCTTTCATGTTCATGTACTCAGTGGTCTTTTCTATGTTGTGCTTCATATCACCAAGATGTTTGGTACTCCCTCTATTCACTTTTTTAAGGCCTTGAAAACATTTCAGACAAGGTATGAAGTAGTTCATTTTTAGTTGTCTGAAACGACTTATAAAAGTGGACGGAGGGAGTAGTAACTTGTTTATGGCCATGCTGCACATATTTATACTATGATGATTTGAGAGCTCTGCCCTCTGTCACCGTGTGTGTGTTCCTACCCTAATCGTCTAATCCATTCTTATTGTGTACTAGTACTATGTAGCATAATAATAGGGTAAGGAATGTATTCATTGCTTTTGAAGGTACAAGATGCTGCAGTGTCTCAACAGAAATAACATGAGAGTTTGCAGAAATGAACTCTGCCTTCTGAATTAGCAGTGGTATTTCATTTCAATTGAACTAAGAAAATCTTGGCCACATCCCACATGCAAGTATCTGGTGCTCTAGCATGCGTGTAGATGGGAAAAAACATGTGTATCATATTAGTTCTTTGAGGTAAGATCAATTGTCTTCCACTGATCCATTTACAAAAAATGGAAGAATCTGATAGAACCGAATCTCCCTGCATCTATGTCTTCTGAAATGTATGCATCTTGGCACTCGGTGCTGCAGGACTGGAGATCAGCACAGGCCGTCTTTTGCTCCACAACGCCGGGGGCCCAGGAAGAAAGCGCCTCTGAACGCAGCGCAAGGGGCTTGTTCTTGCTCTCCGAAGGCGTGGCGCGTGGCGCCGCACTCGAAGAAGGCGAGCTCGCATTGGCTCCCGGCTCCTGAGCCCCGGATGAATCAAAGCAGATGGAGACTGCCTTTCCAGATGCGGTCTGCAGCTGGAACTCTGTGGGAGTGAGGGCAAGGAAGGCGCTGTTGCATGAGTGCTCGTTGTAGTATGTGACTTGGTACAATGGGGGGTCGCTGTGATCTTTCTGCTGAATCTGCTTGGTGGCCGGGCAGTTCATGTTGTCTTTGTAGGTGCATCTGTAGTAGTACCTGTGGCAGGATAGAAAGAAGACGACGAATCTTCTGTGAGTAAATCGAAGAACTGAGGCTTCTTCTCATATATTGGTAAGTTTGTTACACTGTGCATCTCTATGGTAGATTTGGATGAGAAGAATGAAAAGACCACCCAGGAATCATGAGAGAGAGGCCGGTAAAAGACTTGTGATGTGCCTAGACGAGGCGCTAGATACTAATGGTTTTTTTGGGAGCACATGCAGATGCAGATCACCAAATGAGGATGAGGACGAGGAGACCAAAGGCGGGATGCGAACCTGGGAAAGTTGCAGTTGTTGATCTTCTTCTCGCCGTACTTCCTCCATTGGTGGCCGTCGTTGTGCGGCGCAAAGGTATCCACCTTCCTCATGCGCTTCTCTTTCCTGCAAGTTTGTTTCATTTCAGAAACAAATCAAGAGAGGTTACTCCGATTGAACTGACCGCGCGCGCGCGCGCACACACACACATATATATATATAGAGAGAGAGAGAGAAAAGAAAGATGCAAAGAAGCAGAAAACTGACCTTGATCCATGGCCTAGAAGGTGTGATTGATTTGGGCTCGGCACGGGAGACATTGTTTCCCAGTCCCAGAGCAAGAAAGGAAGCGCGGAGGAGAGGAGAGGAAGAAGAAAGGAAAAGAAAGGTATGAGGAGCTAGCCTTAATCAGAAGCGTACTAGAGCAGGGCGCCCCTTTTAGCTTAACGTCAAGACCTCTATAATTGAGTCCCTGATGCAGCGCATGGATTATAAAACTCCCCCTCCCCCTCATAAACTGAGACCGGCAAGGGAGGACGGAGAGATGCAAAGATAATCTTGTCCTCCCTCCCTCCCTCCCTCCCTAACCGGCTCCCAGTCCCAGAGGGCAGAGGAGCAGAGCGTATCGCTATCACGTGCTCCCCCGCACCGACGGGCCGCCCGCGACCCCGAGAAATTTCTCCGCACCTTCTTGGGCGAAAGCCCTACAAGTGGCCTCGGGTGATGTGTTCCGGCCCTTTTTTTATGGCGCCAAGCACTGTCATCGATCTCGCAACTGGGTCTAACAATAATAACCCCCCCTTCCCCCTCCGTTGATCGGGACTCGCCCGCCTATATTGTATTCGGCCGGACCGGTTCAAATCTTGTCCAAAATGGAAGTTTGGTAGCGCCCGGCGATTAAACTAGTCGCCGGATTCTTCTTGGCTCGCGGAGGCCGGGAATCGTCTCGTTGCTTGGGAGGGGAGACTAGCTGATACCTAACGCACATCCACGGTTTGCACGGTTTTTTTTATAAGACCCGCACATGCCGCACAGCCAACTTGAGGCGGGAAGGAATCTCTAAAGCTCCCCCCTAAATTAGGACCCCGGCCCCCCAAACATGAGATCATCCCTGAGGTTTTCTCCTCCTCCCAACTGCAACTGGATGGATGCCTGGTCACCCCCACCATTATGTTATGCTGCAAATGCAAATCGCCCTCTGCTCTGCATCACCATGCCGCTCTGGCTAGTCGATGCGTCGGGTACTCGCGTCGGGTCTTCCCAACCAGTAAAAGCATCTCTTGCCGTTCTCCTCCTCTATAGAAATAGGAGTAATATACTCCTATGTTTCTTTTCTGAGAGCTCTGAAATAGTATTCTCTTGTGAAATGTTGACTGGCAAGCCAGGCACAGCACCATGTCCATGTTATTGTTTCCAGCCAGAATGGCAACCATGACCTACTACTACTATTCTCCTGGTTTTCTTTTCTTTTCTTCTCCATATAATAAAATGATAATAAAAAAAAACGGGGTGTTGATCCTTGACCATGTACTCCTCCAAGACAGCTCACAAATGCCGCAAGGTCAAAGAATTCAAAGAGAAGGAAACCAAGTGTTACCAGATCACATACTTTATTCCTCGCGGGAAGAAAAGATCACATTGTTTATTCTACCAGCATGTTACTATAATTAAGACCTGCTTAGCCAAAGCTCTGACCTTTTAACCCATTTCCTCCCCCCCTGTAGTAATTTACAAACACTATGAGGCGGGGACACGTAGCCCCTTTTTTAATTGCCTTCTTCTAGAAGTAGGACAGGTAACGCCTTCTGATTGGCCGTTCGGCAGAGAGGGGGAAGGGGGATGCATGCCATCCAGATCTTGGCTTATTCATTGACTTTGCACACTATTTTTATTTTCGCAGTATAGTAAATGTCCAGCTAATTGAGTTGGTTACCGACTAAAATAGGGCGTCACAGTCCTGATGAGAAAACAGATAAAATAAGCCGTAGAAGTGTGGCCACAATGAAGTACACGATTAACAATCCAGAGCCAAGAGATAGAAAAAGTGTGCAAGTGCGGCGCGTCGACGTTCAGACCTGCAAATATCAGCGAACGCCATAGACTCATTGTTAAATTAATACAGTGTAACTACCCAAAAAACATGGAAATAAATACGCAGGAGTAGTTTTTTTTTGCCGGGAATAAATACGGAGTAGTTATCCAAATATACAGTAAATGGTTAGGCACTAAAACCTACTCCACCAAAGGATATATATGTTGCGGCACATGGATATAGTCTTTGAAACCCAACTTTGACGTCTTTAGTGTATTGGTTTGTGAAAGCAATATTTAGAAATGTCACAATTCTAGAATACACCTTTTCATTTTGATCAGTCAAAGTGATCCTTTTTATGTATCAATAGTCAAAGGGAGATATTTGACT